TTATGGTTTCAGGTCTTACATTTAAGTCTTTAATCCATTTTGAATTTGTTCTTGTATATGGTGTAAGTAGGTGGTCCGTTTTCATTCTTTTGCATGTGTTTTTGACATGAATTTCATAGATGAAAAGTTTTGTGTGATTGGTATGAGGAAAAGATTCCAGTACTCAGAAAGATTTCTCAAACCCTACTTATATCTGATTCCTGATGAAATTAATTTTGATTAGGCTATTTATCTGATAAAAAATAATGAAGAAAGCAAGTTTGAGTTAAATACTGACTTTTCTTCCTATCTGAGAAGTGTATGGGAATTCTTGAGGGCCTCTGTGAAGATAAGCATAAATTATCTCTTTTGAATGTTGAGTTACTTTGTAAACATAATGTAATCTGTTTGCTATTTAAACAGAAAATATAAGATAGAAGATAGTAATAGAAGTGTGTTGAAAATGACTCACTGTGGATTTTTTCCCTTGCGGTATAGTTGGGAACGTCTCCACTTCATCTGGCAGCACAGTACGGGCATTATTCTACCACAGAAGTGCTACTCCGAGCTGGTGTAAGTAGGGATGCCAGAACCAAAGTGGATCGAACGCCATTACACATGGCGGCTTCTGAGGGCCATGCCAGCATAGTAGAGGTTTTACTTAAGGTATGTGTTCTCTCTTTTTGCACTTCGCTTTTGAAAGTAATCCCCCAAAGGCTTTACAGTTTTATATGAGGGAGAAGGAAACTGGTTTTATTGAATGTCTACTTCCCCCCCCCCCCCCGTTACCTCTATTTTTTGTGTATAAATAAGCATGTCAAATGAAAATTATCTTAAAATTTTCCTTTGGTGGGAGAAAAACACTTTCTCTGAGTATGTTCTTAGTTAAGTCAAACAATTGATTTCATAAACATTGGTCTCTGCCATGGTGGGGGACTACACTTTCGTCTTATTCAACACAGTGAAAATGCTCATGAAAGGGAATATTAGGTTTGGATGATAAACAAACAAATTAATAACACAAACGGGGATTTTTCTTTAGTCATTTAAATGCCAAAGAGAAAATTCTGAAGCAGAGCATGATAGATTTAGATATTCTTAATCCTTTTTATTCTAGCCTCCAGATCAATGTGTCTAAAAGAAATACAATGTAAGCAAAAAATATGAATCACATATAATTCTAGATTTTCCATTAGCTATCTTAAAAAAAGTAAAAGGTTATTTTAATATTATATTTTATCTAACCCAGTATATACAAAATATTATCATTTTAACACGAAATCAATATAAAAATTATTAATGAGAGAATTTACATTAATTTTGGTGTTAAGTCTTTGGTGTTAAGTCTTTTTGGTGTTAAGTCTTTGAACTCCAGTAGTATTTAGACATACAGCACATCTCTTTTCAGACTAGCTATATTTCAAGTGCTTACTAGCCACATGTGTCTAGTGGCTACCATATTGGACCGTATACCTCTAGATATCTCCCTTCTAATTCTTTATATTGCACTGGTTTGGAAAGCAAAGGACATTTTTATGTAAATAAGGAACTAGAATTTAATGGGATTTGGGAGGAATGCTCATAGTTTTCCCTCACTTCTTATGTTTTTCTAGGCCTTCAAGGTCATAGCTGGGTGACTGAAAAAATAACTGCTGCACTCCTCTAAGAAATTAGAAGGAAAGCAATTAGGAAAGTCAGCATGATAGAAACAGATTAAGTGACAGATGTGTGGTTATTCTTGGAACATACAGATTATTGAAAATAGTTGATCATGTTAGTAGCAAATTCTTTAAAGTGTACTGTCTAGTATTTTCATTTCGGTAATTTTAAATATTTCATATGTTAGAAATCTCTTATTTTGAAATATTTTTGTAGCATGGTGCTGACGTCAATGCAAAGGACATGTTAAAGATGACAGCTCTACATTGGGCTACAGAACACAATCATCAAGAAGTGGTGGAACTTTTAATCAAATATGGTGCTGATGTACACACGCAAAGTAAATTTTGTAAAACTGCATTTGATATTTCAATAGACAATGGGAATGAAGATTTAGCAGAGATATTACAGGTAACTTTTGGCTTTTAAATCAAGAAGATAAACAAAAGGATCTCTGTCTTGTGGATGATTTGAACTATTTAGTTTGTAGCTTTTCATTTTGGACTTGGTTATTTTGGACGGGCCCTTTCCTGTTTCACTCCCTCTCTTTTCATTTCTGTTCATTTTCCTGATTGTAAGACCATGGTCATTGCATGTAACATTATAAGATTAGATAAGGTGATTGCTTTCTGTGTTTTTAATTTCCTGAATTCTCCTTTTAGACATTTTGTTCTATTAATTTTTTTGCATACCATACCAGAGTCGGTTATACTTTCACTAAAAAAATTGTTTTAGCAAGCATGTCCCCTGAGTGAGTGAGACAGTCTTTGTCATTCTGATTGGTTTCTTTTATGTTTCACCATCCTCAAAAAAAAAAAAAAATCTGTGAGCATAGTTATTTATGGCTTTTCAGCAAGTTTTCCTAATAACCACCATTACTTCTCTTTTCTTCAGCTAGACAACATTGATGTAAATTATCTTCCTTCCTTACTGCCTCTTCTCACCTGTCTTGTTACCCTTCCTAGTAAAACTGTTCTCTAAGACCATCTGACTCTATTGAACTTCAGCTAGTCACTTAAAAGATCTTATATGTTCAGAAAAATGAATTTTGCCAGACCTCTTCCAATTCTTTTACTCCTAGAAGTGCAGTTTGGGGGTTAAGTTTGAAGATGGAGAACAATTATTTGGAAAGGACATACTTTATATATGTAATGTTATATATTGCTGAATAGTACACTAGAGGAAATAATTTGATTTAAATAATTAAATTCCTGTAGTCACAGAGCAGCAGAATATCTTTCGATTGTCTTCTATAAAAGACTTTCAGAGGAGAAATGGTTCTCCTCTCATGGGATTTTGCTACTTTACCTAACAGGGGAACTTAGGATATAAATTTATACCTGTGATTTACCACTATACTTTCAGTAGATCCTGAACAAAGATTTCCATTTGTATTATATGATTCTTCTTAAATTACAGAATGTTCCTTTATATTTGTGTTTGTACCACATTGAGAGTCTGTGCTGTATGTTCTGGTTATAATTCTGAAAACATTGTGGTGGTTTGTTCCCCAGATTGCTATGCAGAACCAAATCAACACAAACCCAGAGAGTCCCGACACTGTGACGATACATGCTGCCACACCACAGTTTATCATTGGACCTGGAGGGGTGGTGAACCTAACAGGTCTGGTATCTTCAGAAAATTCATCCAAGGCAACAGGTATTGAGATGCATATAGGATAGCTGTTGGGATTTTATGCGTTAGTAGGTATTCATCCTTTTAAGAAAGGACAGTTGGAGAAAGAGGGTAAGAATATTTCAGCCACTTTGGTTTTCTTTGGTATAATTGGCAAAAAACCAAATTTTTATGAGACAAAATAGCCTAAAGAAAGATGATATTGCAAACCGGTACTGCAATATTATCTTTCAAAAACTAATGCTATCCATGCTTGTTTTTCACAAAATATTATCCAAGCTTCATGTAAGAATTGAATAAAATAAAACAGAATATCAGAAGAATGCATTAGATTAAGCTCCTTAATAATTCAGATCTGTTTTCTCTTTTCTTATAGATGAAACGGGTGTATCTGCTGTTCAGTTTGGAAACTCCTCTACGTCAGTATTAGCGACATTAGCTGCCTTAGCTGAAGCATCGGCCCCCTTGTCCAATTCTTCAGAAACTCCAGGTTAGAAAAACAATGTACATTAAAAGTTGGAGATTGAAATATTTACAGAGGCCAGAAAGGTAATAAAAGGCTAAAGTGGGCAGGGTTGAGACTTTGGCCATCTGAGGAGAGTGGCAGGGCAGTGGGCATCTGCTCTCTGCTGCTCAGCTCTAGCTGATTCCAGCCCTGTGCTCAATGTGGCCAGATTCTGTTTCATGGGAAGCTGAAAAATCTGAATTCTAAAAGAATAGCAAATCTTTGCAATTAGTTAAAACTTAATTAAAATTAAAAATAAACTTGTGTAGTTCACAGAAATCATGTCTGTGTACCCAATTTGGCCTTTGTTTTACTAGTCTGACTTTTTGTATAAATAAAGTATGTAGATAAATATATATGAATTTGCTGCCTGTTTCATAACTATTTATTTTTGTCAGTTCTATTAGAATGACATAAAACCTTAACGACTGACAGAACTAGGAAATAGCGACCACCGTTAACCAACACCGACCGCCATTAAGGGATGACAAACAATATTAATAACTGGTTTAGATAAAGTTTATACTTAACCAAAATAGTTCTTGCTGTAATTATTGTGTAAGTAAAATATTTTTTTTTTAATTAGGGAATTTTAAAAACTCCAAAAAATTCATACTGTAGTTTAAGCTCATTAAATTAAAGAATAATATATCAGTCATTATTTAGTGTTTTTTAAAAGTGTGATCAATAATAATAATTCATTGAATGCTTATGTGTGTGCTATGCAGTGTGGTAAAGTTTTTACTTATAATCCTATTTAATCCTCATCAAAAAGCTTGAAGGTAGATATTACTGGATTTGAGTCTTAAAGGTGCTACTGATTGGAAGATGTATTTTTTGGGGGGAGGTGGAGAACCTACTTACCTGTCTTTTTTCTCTTTCTCTCTCTCTCCTTTTCTTTCTTTACTAACTAGTGATTATAAACTTTTATCCATTCTCCATCTTGTTTAGCATCATCATAAATGTTTGAATCTAAGTATTTGTACTTGAGAGTCGTCAGATTTTTCTGATTCGCTTTTGGCTGTTAGCAATTATGTGCATCATCATATTGACGTGCTGCTTTTAAAACATACGCCTAGATCTCTTTAACGCCTTTGTAATTGCATAAGTATATCAAAGATTAATTTCATTGGTGGTTTCTATTTGTTTAAACTTGTAAATTTTTTCTTTATTTAAAGTGCATATCTAGAAATTAAATAACTTTTCTTGAAAGTCAGCTGGAAGTTTTGACATTTAGATATTTGGCTCCATGATATTGAATTGGTCATACCAACTTCTCGAATGTCTATCTTTGAAAATGTTATGTGTGATCTAGTCCGAGTGAATTAGTAATTTTAATAGACTCATTGCATGTGGCTTACAGTGTTCTATGAGCACAGTAATTTTTCCTTTCAATGCTATATCATAGTGGAATCTTTTTGAAGATGTTTTAAGAGCTTGAGTTGAGTTAAAGTTCAGGTGAGTACATTGCCACCAGTGTAAACAACTCAGCCAAGGTGGGTAATCAAATAAAGAAACATCTTTTCACAGCTAAATTTGCACGTGCTCAGGCAAATTATTTCTCTGCCTCTTGCCTCTCCAGTTTCCTTTAATATCATTTAAAAGCTGTAAATTTTTTCACTGTTTACATATATTTTAGAAATGTTTACATATATTTTTCCAAGAACATCTTAGGATCTGGAAAACAAAGTAGTACTCCCATTTTATATAATGAAATTGAGGTTTGTGGAGGTTAAATAATTTTGCCCACGGTAGCAGGGCCATTAAGTGGTGAAAGGAGGTTGGTGCTCAAGGTCTGATTCCCACACTGTTGGTCTGTGACCACTTTGACATGCAGTTTCTTCAGGTGATCAGTGGACCAGTCTCTTCTAGAATGTTTATAACTTGGTTTGTGATAGGAATAAATATTTGTGTAACTATCATTTTGTCTTATATCCAACAAAAGTATCACTGTTCCTACTTTTATTCCTGAGGTGTGTTTGTTGAAGCAGTCTGTTGAAATGTTCTGTTCCCCTTTTGCCCTTTTTAAATGATTAAAGACCAAAATATAAGAACCATCAGTACACTAATTGGTGTTGCTCATATTCTTTTCTTTTACCAGCTATAGTACAATAAACACATCTTCTGGATACCAAATAGCCAGAATGTAGCAGCAGATGGACTGCAGTGGAAGTGGAGGCCAGCTGGCTGACATGGTCCTATGTATAGAGGGAGGGTATTTGTGAAAGTCCAGGATACCATGCCATTTCACTTGGGAACTATGGCTTTGCATAGCACCTCATGATTACACTAGGACCATCTTTCACATAAAAAGCTAATCGTCTTGATGTTAGTCCAATGGGAACCTCATAAAGGACATCAGTCTATTATAATGCTTTCATTATGAAACCAAATGGTATTGCTGCCTTTTCTTTACATTACAAGCAAATATAACTGCAGATTGTCAATGTTTGATGATTAGAATAGCTCATTGAATTGTTTCCTAGCTAGTGTTTTTTATGTAATATTTCCAGTTTTATTCTTGCCTCATAAACCTTCATTTTTCCAAATATTTAACTTGTTTGAAATTTTTAAATCTCCATGTATAATTTTCATGATTATTTATTGCTTTAATAGAAGTATAGAAAAATTTGATAAGTCTCAATATACCCTGAAGACTTTGTTGCTAATGTTCATTTTTAATAAATAAATGGTTTTGTTGGGAAGTATGTATTTTAGTTTCTGAGCCCATAGGACTATGCTAATGTTCATAGTTGTAATAAATAATTATTAGCTCTATCTGGGTTCAGGCCAAAAAAAGATAATGAAACAATTGATATTAACTATAAATTTAATTTGGCACAATGAATTATAAAAAAATAATAGCTAGTATTTGTTGGTTTTTTGCTATATATGCTTGCTACTGTGCCAAGTGCTTTATATGCATTATCTCATTTTGTTCTGATAGTAGTCATCTGAACTAAGATACTATCTTTGACCATTGACCAAGGTTTAATTTTCAGCTTTTAGGGTTTCAGAAATATTTTATTAGTATATTTTGAGTTGGTATAAGGGACTGACTTACACTCAACCGACTCATAAGAAGGTGATACATAAATCAAAATGCTGTTATTTATTTTTAAGGGATTATGCAACTGTCTTTTGAAATTAATTTATATTGGAAATAAATCAGTGAAAAAATTTACAGCTTTTAAAAGTATACACATACAATTTTCAGAAAACTTGTTTAAACCATCCTTCAGAATTTTGGAGTGGAGTAATTCAGGAGAAATATCAGGTAGCTCAACATTAATATAATTGTCATTCTTTTTTACATTATTAAAACAAACTAGAAGAACTTCTGCTTGGAAATAGTTAGTTAGGAATTAGCTTGTTAATTTATGTACCCAATGATTAGAAGGCTGTATTCTTTTAAATATTCTCTAATTCATAGTTTTCTTCTAATTTGAGTTCCTCTTAATGAATTTGAATTAATACGATAATGAAAAAGTAAAATTCTTAAATTTTGTGTGCATCAGAATCATCTTAACATTACATTTGCCTCAGTTCTACCCCAGTAGATTCTGATTGAGGAGATTTGGGGTGGGGCCCTGACATCTATATTTTTAACATGCTCCCAAAGGTGATTCTGATGGTGCACCAAAGTTAAAGAATTTGATCCAAAATTTAAAAGGGCATAGTGAATATATTATTTTATTATTATTGGGCATAGTGAATATATAAAGATTATAAGTGTACTATACCAAAGATTTGCGTGAATAATATACATTTCTTAATTATTTCGTTTTTATATACAATACATCTATTCAATTATTTATGGGCCACATAGGTGAATCTCTAACAAGGAAGTATGTGGGAGAGAGGAATGGCTTTCTTAATTGCTTTAATAGTGAAATATATGAGGTCTGTCAATTAAGTTCGCGAACTCATCCTAGAAAAAGTGCTACATACCTCATTGCTGAATATCACTAAGGTCACCTTCGAAGTACTCCCCTTGGGAAGCTATGCACCGACGCCAGTGCCGGATCCACCTTTCGAAGCAATTTTGGAGCTCTTTCTGGAATGGCCATCAGAGCTGTCATCATATTACCCTTGATGTCCTGAATGTCATCAAAGTGTCTTCCTTTCAATATTTCCTTTATCTTCGGATAAAGAAAGAAGTCATTGGGGGCCAGATCATGTGAGCAGGGAGGGTGTTCCAATACCGTTATTTGTTTACTGGCTAAAAACTCCCTCACAGACAGTGCCATGTGAGCTGGTTCGTTGTCGAGATGCGAGAGCCATGAATTGTTGGCGTAAAGTTTAGGTATTTAACTTATTCATGCAGCCTTTTCAGCACTTCCAAATAGTAAACTTCGTTAACTGTTTGTCCAGTTTGTACAAATTCATAATGAATAATCCCTCTGATATAACAAAAGATTAGCAACATCATTGCAACAAGTTTGCAAACTTAATTGTCAGACCGTGTATCTAGATCTTGCTACTTAATCTTTTCAAGAGTTGAATAATTAAGGAGCAGGCTTCTGGTAATTAGGATATAATTAAAACAAAAATACAATTAAAATAAAAAAAGACACTGATTATCAAGATCAGATTTCTCATATTGAAGTGAGAAGAATGTTATCATGTTGAGCACTTTAAAAATAAAGAGTAATTATTCACTGCGAACAGTCTATAGATCCAGTAGGGTTTACTTATCTCTAATTTATGTGCTTCTTTAAGTTTTCCCTTATCTATATATACTGTTATTCTAGCACATTGATTTCTGATTAAACAGATATGAAAACTTATAGATTATGGGAATTCCTATGAAATTGTATCTCTTAACCGATGCTGGTCAGTGAGCACTGATAAAATTGTGGTTTAAAAAAATTAATATTACTGACCTCTGTTTTGTTAAAAAAAAAAAAGAATTGTTTCAGGGTACTACGTATGGTTACCTACTGTGGTTAAACTAAGGACATGTGTGCCTTTTACCTCTAAAT